TTTCCTAATTTACCAAAATTAGGAAATTTAGTTTAGGACTAAATTAGTTCCTAATTTAGTAACTGGAATATGTTGAAATTAGTTTAACAAAGAAAGCATGCAAAATCCTAAGTTATTAAGGTTTACTTAGCCTCCCTCTCCTGATTTCTTTGCTTATCATTCTAGACATCCCAATAACCAGCAAATATTATAAGAACTCTCATTATTTACAATTGCATGGAACCCAATAGAGCTGGAGACCTACTTAACCATTCTCTACCTTGCATCTGTCATCCTATGCGAGTCATGTGGAAGAAAACTTTAAATAAGAATTAAAATTCAAACTCACATTCAATTAATATTACTCATATTATTAATACTTGCCCGCACGGGACTTATCAGGAGATAATTGACCTTGTCAGTATTATGAGCCCTTTGCATTTCTGTAGGATCTTTAGCTCCCTTCAAACTTAATTATAGCTTGATAAAGCCAAAAAGAAGTTTATCTTCCCCCTTCCCTGTCTCAGCTACAGAACGTTAAAGAAAAAAAAAAAAAAAGAAAAGGGGGGCATGGGAGTAGTGAAAGGAATGGATCTTCTAAGTCATATAATCTGCTCAATTAATAAAGTGAATCTAACAGAGTTGCTCCCTGGGGCCTGACAAATGCACCTGTCGCAGTCACCAGACAACTGAGATACCRTACGTGTCCAGACACTTTCTTCCTCCCCCACTTTATATCTACTTTTTTAAAGACAAGACATCTCTAATTAGAGCTCATAGAGATGTGGGCTAAGCTACTTTTACATAAAACTCTGATTCACAGCAATATTTTTTTGATGTTCAGCTGAAAAAACAAGTGTATTTTTTTAATAAAAATGTATTAAATGTTACAAGTAAACACAAATATATAAATATATAAAAAGATCAATTTCATTTCCCCATCTGTTGGCTTTTTAACTACTATTTKCTACATCAGCCTTGAGCTGTCATTCCAGCAGATTTAAGACTCACGTGATTGGAACATTGATAAGGAGGTGATGCAGGTTCTCGTGTCTGCGCAAACTGGTGGCTGTGTCCTGGTGATTAGAGAAGAGATGAAAACATTCAGTTGTCCTGCTGTCATTGACGTATTCACCCCTAGACACAGAGGCTAACTTCATCTCCTTGAAGATCCTCTTAAACAGTCAACAGAGGTCTTGAGTGGTACATACAGGATGAAGAAAGCCTTCTGCCCTTTGGATTTCACATTGTGTGACCAGCAGCAGAACTATTTAACCCTCTGTGTGGTACTGTTTACCAAAATGTAAATGGCCTAGAGTAATCTCATAAAATACTGACTTACATGTGACCTTTGTAATACTTCTCTGAGCAGAAATCAGAGCCGTAAGGAGAGGATTTTGCAAATGAGATGTTAGCATATATATATATATATATTTAAAAAAATAGGATATTAATGGAGATGAGAAAAGTTTACTCTAAGTCTTAAGTTTTATCTTATTGAGTCCTACAAAACAGTTTCCTCTGTAAAATTGTTACCATGGATTTGGATTTGCTTTATACATCTTGTCAGGAATGCTTTATTGCAAGTGTGGCATTTGGCTCCCTGTACCCCGTACTCAGTGCTGATTATTTTCAGTGCCACCAACTGTTCTTTTTCTTCTTCATTTCCCTTCTTGTAGTGCAATAGGCAGGAAAGCACTTTTGCTTTTGGATTGAGGGAAGGATGAAGTTTCTCTCTCTTTCCTATTGCTTGAACTTCCTATCTGTATCTTGCACTCCAGAGATGTCTGCAGTTTTGCTTGTTCCTTTAGCAACATGGGATAACAGTTTCAAAAGGAATTTCCTGGGTAGTTCAGATGAGTTTATCCTAATCTTCTTTCTAGAAAAGTATTAGGAGGAATTCTTTATGGATTCATCGCATTGTTCAGAGGCAGACTATGCTGTAAGTTTTYAGATGTGCCTCAGTTCACCTTTGAGGTAACTTCTTTTGGTAGAAGTTTTTATAGAATCTAAGTGGCCTAATCAAGTACCTTAACTAGCAAGGGAAAATTGGAGAGATATTTCTCAAAATACYTAAGCTATCTGAAAGGACTGTTGCCTAGCGAAATTTTTCTACACACATAAGTTAGAAATTATAAAAGACTGCAAGACCTTTCAATTCTCCCAAAAGTTTAATAAAGAATTAATGTCCACCARGTTCAGCACAACTCTTTTCATGCATATTAGACATTCTTACACACATACTTTGATGAGTCAACTTCTGCAAAGTAGATTGTTCTTTTGATTTCAAGTTTTCTACTAAAATGACTTAATTGCCATACATAACACAATGTTTATTTAATTCAAATAATTCTTACACCCCAAAGATCCTAGCACTTCTGCTTTAAGGTAGCAAGATTAGGGCATGAAGCTCAAGATACATTTTCTTATGTTCATACTAGAGCACAGATTAAACATAAAGAATGGATTTTTTTTTGAAGTCATCAAAAACAGAACCTGTTCCAGGTGTAATGAGCTTATAAACATCAGATAAAGTAAAAATATAAAGTACCTTCAAATTCAAAAGTATTATTACCTATTCCCTTCTCCGACTCTGTCCCATGAAATTTGTATCACTTTCTTTTTCTATATTCTGCTTTCAAAATTGCTTTTCTTACAGGGATGAACTACTCTGAGCATATAAACTAAAGGGTTTGAATGAATATGTCAGAAATACTTGTACTCTCTGAAGACCCGTGGTTACAATACCTCACAATAAGACAAAATACACCAAGTATATACTAAATATCTGACTTCATGTGTCCTGAGGCAATTACTTTGCTAAGGAAAACTGTAATAGCCTTCCAAACAGTACAGTAGTCGTTTGATCATGTTCCAAGGATAAACATTCCTGAACACAGTCGCATCAGAGCTTGCTCCTGAGCGAGGATGCTGAAGATTCTAAATCAACTCCATCTAATCTGAGTAGCAAAGGAACTTTCATGGTTCTAGAGATGGAATTGGCTTTTGTATCACCATCATATCCCAAAACGATGGTTATTCAGGCTTTATCACAATATAAATGAAAACTGGAGACTGCTTTGATGAAAAAAGCCCAAGTTTAAATGTAAAGTATCAATATATGTATACTTACTGCATTGCTGAATAATCAGGAAGATGAGTACAAGGCAAACTTTCTATATATCTTTGTGTGTCTACTTTCCTTCTCAGTCTCTATTATCCTTGAAATATAAATTTATACCTTCAGAGCATAATGTAGCTTGAGGTACTGTGAAGTCTAGAATACTGCAGCAATTCTTCTGTGCTTTGTGGGGAAAGAATTTAGCATTTAAGGAGCTGATATGGGTTGCAAGAGGTTTTTGTTTGTTTGTTTGTTTGTTTTTTAATTAATTTTCCTGTCAGACTTTGGCCAATTCACTTCAATTTGTTGCTTAAAATTCAAAATTCAAAGAATGACATTACACCTCCTTAAAGCAGCCATAGAAGGGCTGATGTCTGGGTTCTTTCATGGCAGAATAGCAGAGGCACTCTGGAAGGTTAAATGGTAAATTGAAGAAGCATCATTAATAAGCCCCCACAAATTAACAAGTAACCCATAAGTCAATACTTGTGTGTCATCAATACCAAAATCACTGTGCATTATCCTTTCTTGTGCTGAGCCCTGCTGATAAAGGCAGGATCTGTTAAAAGTTATTTAGTGCTATTCATTATGGAAGCCATACAGAGCTCCTGCTTGTCAGCAGAGGTTTCAAGAATCAGTCTGAAGACTTTGGTAAAAATATAAAAAAATTTGACAGTTTAATAGAAGGAGGAAAGAAAGAACGTTTTTCTACACTTCAGTGGGAACTTTAAGAAACCAGTTTGGTTTTCAATAGTGTCCCCGTGAATAGAAGCCCGATGGTCTTTAAACCAGCATTTCCCCCACCATTTTAGTCTTGAAAGCCATTACTGTGATGGAACTGCAAGGAGAAGAGATAGGGATGGCAGGATACAGGCAGCACACAAAGGAGAAAGAAGAAATCCTTTAAACGGGGAATGAAACACACTGTTTGACAGCTAGAAAAGGGGGGAGTGTCTGGAAGGTAAAAGGGCAGGCTCCATAGGGGTAAGCAGACATAATGGAGTGCAGAGTAACAGGATGTGAAGGGGTTATAATGATCATGGTCGCAGAGTGTGTAATTTGCAGTGAATAATTGATCCAGTACCTTTATCTTTTTTTTTTCCTTCAATTGTTTCTCAGCAAGACAACCACAATTTTCTTGCATCTGTTTGTTCCATTTTTATGATTCACTGAGTGACTTTTGCAATTGAAGTTTGATCCGCATATAGAACACAAATTCATTATGAGTATCAAACACCAAAAATCCTAGTTCAGTTTTGATGGAACACATAAATCACATGGTAGTTTGTATACTCTCTAATTAGTGACTGTAACTCTAACAATCGCTGTGACATTTCTCAGAATTACATATTTGGAATATAAGCTTCATGAATATTCCTTTAAAATGGACTTTCTCTCCAGATGCTTATGACAGTAATCTCATTGGAAGGAATATTATGGCAATTTTTGACATTCTAGGGACTTAAAATTCCATGGAGACTAGTCAATATGAGACTAGCCTAAATTCCAGAATACATCATTTTTCTCCCCATACAAGAGTATCTAATATGAACTTCAATAAATCAAATAGCTATCTTTGCCTCTGTTTGTCTCTCACAGTAAAGACTTTGGTCTGTGTCTGTAAGTTACTCTGCAGATTTGTCAGATATAGGAGATGAACTTAAAATATCTCCAAACCAGAAAGACCCAGCTGTATGCCTTTTGCTTGTGATGGAAACAGTGGGGCAGAAGGGAGAAAGCAAATGTTCAATAAGTATGTAAATATTAGGGGATGTTAGGGAGCAAGTCTTAGTGATCAGTGCACTTGGTCAATATTTCTAATAGAAAAGCAGCTTCAATTTCACAACAGTGGTCTCTGTCCAAAATAACCAAACGAACAAAAATCCCACAAAATTCCATAAGCTAGAGTTCGTTTTAATAAGATCCAGAGCCAGGATAGGAGAACATGATTAAACACACACAATGGGCATTGTTCAGAAATTGAGACTAAACAGAGCACAAGAGGAATGACAGTTAAACTGCAGAAACATTGCACAGTCTAAATTGAAAAGTTGACATTTAGAGACCATCCACTCCTTACTCCAAAAAGGTCCATTTTTGAAGCCTTGTCCTGTAGCTTTGAACATCTTCAAAGCTGGTGATTCCACACTTTTTCCAAACAACTTTTTCCAAAGTCTGACTACTCTAGACACTGAAGTGAGACTGAGAAGCCTGTAATTTCTTAACTCAATCTCAGTTCCTGCCTTTCCTGGAAGTAGGTTTGATGTTTGCCTTTTTTCAGTCTTCAGGATCMTTTCCCAGTCATCATGACCTTTTAAAATGACAGAGAATGGCCTTATAAGGATGTTATTCAGATCCTTCAGTACCTGCAGATGRGTCGCATCTAATTCCATGGATTTGTATATGTGATGTTTTCCTTAGTGTTCCCTAACTTGATTTTTGTAGTATGGAGTACTACACTCCTACAGACACTGCTATTCCCTATGTTTATAGGCATCTAGTTTAGAAAGCAAACCACACTATTAAAAAAGGAAGTAAAGAAAATACTGAGTACTTTGCCTTCTTCCACGCCCTTGCCACTAGGTCTCTGATCTCATTCTCTGGTGGACACTCTTTTTTCCTTGTTTTTTTGCTGCTCCTACCAATTTCAATTCCAGATGAATTTCAGCTGCCCTAATTTCATCACTGCATCTCTGTGCAACATTTCAACTCTCCTCCCGAGTAACCTATCATGGCTTTCACCGTCTACATCCTGATTCTTTTTTGTTTTTGAACTCAACTCAGTAAACCAAGCTGTGCTCTTGCCATACTTGCTCAATGTCCTGCAGATCGAAATAGATTTTCTTGCAATTCAATTTTGCCCTTGAAAAAAATCAAACAGCTATCCCAGGCCCCTTTGCCCTTCAGGGCACAAAATCCCACAAATGGTACCTTGGAAGGAGAAGAAAAAAAAAAAAAAAAAAAAAGTCTGCTTTCCTTAAGAGTCATTCATTATTCTGCTACTTGCCTTCCTCATTTCCCTCAGGATCTTTAACTCCATTGTTTTATCTCAATAAAAGTTATACACAAACATGGAAATGAGATTTGAGACTATGTACAGCACAGGCCACATGACCTTGCTCAGAAGGAGAAAACTTTGGAAATTAAGTACACCCTTAACCCTAGTAAAAATTCTACAATATTTGCTGTCAGATTTTGATGAATATTATGTTCACCAACCAAATAAGTCCATAACACTAACTTATTGGTGTTATTATTTTTAACTTRAACTGAAGAAATAAATATTTATCATACATAGCTTAAAACTTTTGGCATCCAAAAGTAACTCAGAAGGTATTTGTGATTACTTCATTAAAAATTCCATTATTTCTTCATTATAATTTTACCATTTACAGGAGAGCATGCAGAAATGAACAGATCTAGTTCTAGTGAGCAGTCATTGAACTGTACACCAAAAGGCAGATATGACAAGTCTCACCTTAGGGAAGTGAGACTCAKATCTAACTACCTCCTGTTTCACTCTTTCCTCCTGAAGAGGTGTGCATTTCATTCATCTTCAACACAGCATCATGGCCTTTCTGATGGGCTATGATCATCACATGCCAGATATGTCTGAACAGCTGATTCTCATGATCATGAGCTGATTACTCTCATATATAAGTTCCTTCCCTCAGCACATGTCATATGAACCTTTTCTTTCTTATCACACTGTAGGTCAAAAGGCACATCTCCTTCCAGCCTGAAATCCAGGTGAGTCTGCTATAAACCACTCAGCTTTTCCTAAGTCTTTGCACCTTCTGAGGAAGTGCCCATTGGCTCACAACCTGGACTTCTTCAGAAGACTCCTTTTTATGTCTTCTGATGAGTGAGTTGTATGCTCCTCTTGCTCTAGGACAAGCAGCTGCTAACAGGATATATAGGACGGATGCATTTGAGCTGTGTACATCTGCTGCAGTGACTGAGGGAACTCTGTGCAAACAGGTGAACAATTTCTRTTTTAAAGTAGAGCCAGACTGACTGAAAATAGAGACCTGATTTTCCAGGGAATAAGCCACAGGAAGCAATATTAATGGGAAGAAGAAAAAAATGGTTGCTATATATGTAATTGTGCAGTAGAGAGAAGTGGTGAAACTACTTCTGCTAAACTTAAAATGATCATAAAGTTCTGAGAAAGCTTTATTTTTCATGAAATTTTTAAGATTTGCAGCTGCTCTGGAATACATTTTTCATCTTTCACAAATTATGTTGTGGGGAAAAAAGTGAAACAAAGTTAAAATTGATTTCAAACTCCATTTTCTTTTCTCTGTAAGACCACACAGAAGTGATGACAGCACAACCCTCCTTTCAGTGGAAACTTGGATAATCTGAATATCATACTCTATGTACTGTCCTCATCAGTATGCTGAAAGAAAAGTTAGCAAGCCTCCCAAGAAGATGTAGAGGGTAAGTGACATACTCACAAGGCAGTGATTCACCTCTAAGAATAGGAGGTGACCACAGTTTAACTGTCAAGTTGCAGAATGCAAGCTGTGGTTTTGGACGCTCAGTTACTTTGCAAATTCTGTGAGGTTTAAAAGGGATAAAATCTTACATAAGCTTTTCCCAGAACCATGGGTTTCCATCCGCTTGGATGCAGCCCTGTGCCACATGCTCTAGGTGACCCTGCATGTGCAGGGGGGTTGGACTAGATGACCTCTGAGGACCCTTACAACCTTAAATATCCTATTAAGAGAAACACAGAAGTAAGAGATGGTAAGCATGGTTCTAGGACCATGATACCAAACCGAATATCCCTGGAGAAAGGCCAGGAATTCAGTTATTGTTAGCTAAAGACTGACAGATTTAAATGGAGGGCTACTGAAACTTCCAACATTGAATATGTATCTATCAAACTAATTGTTCTGGTTGTCAACTAAGGACTCCAGCTTGACCCTGAAATATTATTGAAGTAATACAARGACTATTAAAGTAATACAAAGTTATACAAAGATTCTGGGTTATGAAGGCAGTCTAATGACTTAACAGAGCAGTTCACCAGCTGTCTTTTTAAATGCTGATACAGCTAGCTATTAGAGGGCTGCAAACTCAGCTGCAGAAAGGATAACTTCAGAGGAAGTCAAGATTGAATTATGAAACAATTTATATAATAGCTAAAAGTCATACTTTTTTTCCCCAAATAGTCTTTATACTAAAGATTCATTTTAATATGAACAGGGAACTACATTTTGTTCCWCACTATGCTGTAAAGGAAATAATGTTCCTTTCCTTTACTCTGAGCTTGCCTAATCTGCAATATATATACTTCAAAACAAAAATAAACAARCAAAAAATACTGRATTTAAACTGGTAGAGGATATATCCAAACAAATCTSTTCCGCTTTATAATTGTGTTTGGCCCAGTCTTGTAGATGGCCAGAAGTCCATACCACCCACAGGACTACTAAATTTTTTGAGGAAGTGTTGTGTGACTTAGCTTTATATTCAATGTACTCGCACACAAATGTGATTTTCAAAACACAGATGAATAAATATACTCTAGTGAATATTCCTCTCCTTTTTCAGAGAATGATAAAAATGGGAGGAAACATTTGAGATCATAAAGTCCTTTGCTATAGTGAACAGCATGTAAAATGAACTTCATCACTTTCCATATTAAAATAAATTAGTATTTTTTGCTCCCAGGTCTCTGGTTATAGGCTTGTACAGAACATCATTTCTCTAATGGGAAAGAAAAYTCTTCCAATTTCTATCTCAAATCTATTTCCAGCACTTTATGCCCATTTGCTTATGTGCAAACATTGCCCGTTAGCTTAAAYAGGCCTCTTCTCTCTCTGCTGTTCCCCTTACCACTTCCCTGATGTTGGTTTGTGATGGACAGCAATCAAATTCTCTAATATCCCTTTCATTTTGAAAGTTTCAGCAAGCCAAGCTTTCCAGTTTGCTGGAAAGTTGCTCCATAGCCTTGATCATGCAAGTAGTCCCTTTCTGTATTTGTTCCACTTTGAGTTTTCTATCTGGGATTTGATAGTTCATTTCTATTAAAACTTTACATGGYATTGGCAAATATGCGTACATTTTTTTCTTTTTATACTATAAGGGAAAAACAATCTTGAGGATTTTAAAATAATCTATTAGCTGTATACTTGATCCTTCTTGTCTCTGTGGCATTTTAGAACTTTAGGGATAAAGATTTTTTTGTTATGGAAGCTTTTTAATTTGCTGTAAGGTGTATACCTATTATATGCTGCTTATGATGCATGCAAGGACACATGTAATGCTTATTCTAAAGACCTTCATGAACTAACATTGATTATATAGTTGTGTATAAATTCAGGATGAAAATCTGATGACTGAGCAATCCTGAGTCTCTCCCATCCTTAAACCACCTWCATTCAGTACCAGTGAATTCCCAGAGTCACAGAAAAGCCTGATCAAATAAATGTGGTATAGGCAAGCCTATGGCTTCTCAACCTCACACATGCATGGATAGGACAGTGTTCTCTTAGCGAGCAAGCACCGAGCAGGAGCTCCCGACAAGTTGAACAGTGTTATATCAAGAGAGAAACATTACTGTCAAGAAATTACAACCTCAGCATTGACATAAATGTTGACAGCACCATTCCCACTGATAGTGATATCAGAGAAGATTATGATTCACACAGGACTGCCCGAAGAGTGATGATTTAGATGAAATACTCCCAAATAAGAAAAAATTCTGAAAGGAAAACTGCAGATGACAAGGATTTTATCAGGCCACTACTGAGATGGATCACACTTTCTCTTCTGTTCTCAAAAGCCTCCTGTCTGCAGAGATAAACTAACCATAATGAAATCTCTTTTCCCACCTGTTCCCCACTTGATGGCAGCAAGAAGCACGATAGTAGGGCATGATAAATCCTAGGTGGTGATTGAGGGTGCATAATTGCAAAGAATGTCATGTCTTTCTGATGGGTTTCTACAAAGCCTTGAGACACTTAGGGCCAAATCTATTCATGATGCAACTTGAATGAAGCAAGTGAAATGGCAGGAGGAATTACCATAGCCCATCATTTCCAAATGCAGAAAGGAACAAGAATATAAAGCAATTARACTAAAGAAGATCACAGATTATGGCAAAAGGACCATAAATGACATTTGGGTCAATCTATATGACCTTATTGTGCATTCATTCACTAGCTCATCTTATTTATTTTTGAGTGTCTAATGGTGCTGATAAAAGCAGGCTGGAACAGGCTACGCATGTTCATTTGAAAGGCGTTTTGAGCAGATAGAATAAACTTTTGGAGCTGTTCGGTATTGTAGGATAGGACA